TTTTAGCTATTGTTTTAAGTTGTTAAAATAGGCTTTTCACATGCATAAAATAAGATAAAGCTTTTTTCATTCGAGACTTTTTGAAAGCGGGACCTTTTCATTCGGACATATTTGGGTAATCAATTTTGTCTGACCTGGAAAACTTTTCGCTTGAATAAAAAATCTAGACTGAGAGTCAGCTATTGTAATAGATGAAATCATAAAGCACACGAGTGCTTATTTAGGGAAATACTATCTCGTTCGCTAACGAAAAAAGATTTGAAATCGACGCAAGCTTTAAAAAAAGAAAAAGTATACTTGTGAAACCATTTGTACACACTTGATTTCATCATAACTCTATTTCTAACTGAATGATCAAAATTTTGTTCTGATCATAACTGTATATCTCAAAATGTCTAAATCCCATAATAGCAAACTAAATTCTTATGACGATGCTTGGCGAGTAAGTTGTAAAAAAGTTAGGCACAAGTCAATCTTCATCCAATGATAGGAATTAGTTTACTGATTTTGAAAACAATAATGAAAGAGCATACGAAAATAGTGGCAGACGTCATTAAAAGTTAACCAAGTTACACTATTTTCCCACACTTGATAAAATATTATAATTTCTTAGGCATTTCAAATATTTCGAAGCTCAAAAATCGACAGACAATAAGATTAGACAGACAATCGTCAGACAATAAGAAACAATTTAAAATGCAGGAAAAAAGTTAACAAAAATTAAAAGAATTACATAAGGTGAAAATAATAAATAAACGAAACAATTTTATTTACAAACGATTATATCAATAACGCACTTTTTTTAAAAATAAAAGAAAAATAAATCGTTTTCTATTTTTCACTCACAATTTGTTTATACTGAATAAAAGTAGTTTCAACCAGATGCTGTTTGAAAAACAAAATATTCTATTGCAACAGTTTTAATTTGAAGTTAGGTAGTCAATTAGGTATGTATGAACAATTGTTTCATTAAAAACTACGAATATAGAATATGCATATTATAACATAAAGAATTTAAGCAATTTTTCTCATTATCAATGCGATACATAAATATCTCAATAAAGAAACAAAACAAAAAACTTAAAAGCGGTAATTCTGAAAATTTAAGAGCGAGCCTACCAATCTTATTATTTTATTAAAAATTGGCGATGAACTGTTGTTTGTATTGTAAAATACAGAATTCACGAGAACTTATTTCTCGATTTTGTTCAACTAAATGTGCAAAATTCTGTAAATGCTTAATGAAATTTTTATCTTAATAGGCTAGGCTTAAAACTCTCGCACAACCTTACAACGTCTATAAGAATAAACGTCGTACGGTTGTGCTAGTGTTTTTAGAGGAATTCTTTTAAAATCTAACACTTTGATCGTAATAATCACTACTTATTATTTTATTAAAAGACTCGATAATTACTGTAATTTAAAGTTGGAATAATATCAAATAAAAAAGGAATAAATAAAGTAAAATAATTTATATTTCAATTAATAATACTTGCAAACAGAATTTTTTTTTTCATTTTATTTTAAAAATCGAATTTTTTAATAATCGAACTTACAATCGAAATGCTTATGTTTATAATGGTTAAAACTTCACTAGTCAAAAATAATAATTTCATCGACTATTTGTAGCAAGCGTTTACGGATGACAATTAAAATTTTATCATATTTTCATTATGTTGTATATTTAATCGCATTAGAGAGCATAAAAATGCAGATTTGATGGAACGGTCATATAACATTGTCAAAAAATAAAATAAGCTTCAAACGAAAAAAAGCATAAATCTCCGAATTCTATTTTTTCTCCACCAAAGCACTTTGACTTCTAATATTTTGGTATAATTTTATTTTCTCTATTACATACTTTTCACCAAAAAAAGCACTTTTTGCTTCCCTCTTTTACGCATACCATTGCAAACGCAGGGCTAAAGAGAATAGAAGGGCTGGTTCACTCCGCTCTTAGAGCTGAAGCTACGATTTCCCTCCTCATGACGTCACTGTGTCCACAGATCTCGGAGATCGCAAGCAAAGATATTATGATAACTTTGCATCTTTCTCTTTGTAAAAATAAGTTAGACTTTTTCTGGTTATTAGCCTTCAAACTTTACGTAATTAACACATTATTTCCGTTCATAAACATAGTTCAAAAAAAACTTTCTTGGTTATTATATTAAAAAAAATACCATTTTAAACTTATAAAAATGTTTTGCTAGTTGGTGAAAATGACACGATAAATACTTTATTTTAAAAAGTTCAGTTTTAACTTTAACTATTAAGAAAAATGAAGGCATATATCGACACTTTTTTTATCTACATATTCTTTTATAACGATAAGTTAAGTTAAATTTAGAATCCCTGATTTTAAAATATGTCGTTAATAGCAATTTGTTCATACTTAATCATTAGGAAACATCAACCTTAAACGCTAATTACTGAAACAAAATAATAATTTAGGTTCATAATGACATTAGAAATTTTACAATTGTTTATAGACATTTAAATTTACGATGATATAATTTATAGATATTTAAATTGAAGAGAATATAATTTTTAAAAAAAATCATAAATATTTAGAATAACTACATTAAAAAATATGTTATGAAATTAGGAGAATTTCAACTATATACTATATATTTTATTTATACTTTTTACTTACATTTTAATTTTCTTTGACTTTATCTATTTTTTAATTCTTTTCACCTGCCTTTCTTTATGAAGTAACGAGGCGGTTTCTATTTAGATAATGAATTTTTATAAAAGTTCTTTACGACAGAATAAACGTATTGCTGTTTTATATTAACTGTGTCATTTCGGAATCCATTCTTTACATAGTTGTTCATTTACTTTAGGGAACACGCGAAAAATTATACTTTTTCCTTTTGTTTTTATATCAGAATTTTTGCAAGTTGCAATCGCGCAAACTGGCATTTCGATAATAGTTTTAAATTCTTGTAAATTCACTGCAAAAACTGAGGAAAGTCATTATTGAAAATAACAAATGTCTTAGAATATCTCGCAAAAAGAAATGCTCCAATATTAGTTAGAGCTAGTAAGGCCGAACGCTGCGTTCTTGAAGTATAAGTGCGAGCTTTGCGCCAAAGTGACGTCACTAGAGAAAATCGGAGGATTGGCGCGGCGAGAGCTACTTCAAAGGACTGAACCAGCCCTTCTATTCTCTTTAGCCCTGTTGCAAACGAGCATTGGATTTTGGATTGAATTATTAATTGGTTAGGACTAATTATAAGGTTAGGACTAAAAATTTATAAAGGATAACGCAGAATAAGTTAAAAGTAATATGATTTTAATTTAGTATTTATGAAATATTTATTGTTTAGGTGAGATATCCAAAAGATTCTATTTTTAGATCTATCTAAAGTCTACTTTTTCTAAAATAATAACAATGCATAATATTCATAAAAAAGTAATCTAATCAAGACCACCGAGAAAATTATTCGATATAATTACGCAATGCTATCAAGTTCAAAAATAATTTTGAAATCATTGTCGATTGAAAAGTTCAGTTGAAGAAGGTTTTGAAATATCTGACAATTAAATAAAGTATTACAGTCTTATTTAAATATACAACGCTAATTTATTTTGGTAAACAACGCTAATTTGTTTTGGTAAACAACGCTTATTTATTTTGCTAAAATTTTAAATTTCGTGGATTTTTGCATACGAAGTAATAAGTGACAGTTTTTGAAATCTCTTTTTGACAGCATATTTCGACGCCAAGACTGCGAACGCTACGACGCGAACTGTTTAAATAAGTATTAATTATTATACATTTTGCGCATCAGAAGCTCACGGAAAATAAATAAAGGTGTGGCATAATCAATCGTTTCGTTATCATTCTGATTTTTTTTTAGCAAAAAGCTGGAAGTTGAAACTATATTTTGTTCACATATAAAAAAAAAGTTTCTAATACTTGAATGAAATTAAACCGTTCCAATGGTTTAATTTTTTATTGGTGTATATTTGAGACCATTCAAATATATCGCATGCAACTGATTAGCTTATTTTTACTCAGAAGGGCGGGTTAAATCCCCTTATTTTCAAGTTACTCATAGAGAAATGGAAAATTTGGAATAAAAGTGGATTCTACGAAAAGAGTTTCAGAGGTCAAGAGTTTTGAATAAAAAAAGGAAAAAATTCATAAAGAATGCTCCACTCAAAATTTTCTGAAATGAACGTGAATTTTGTTTCACGCAAAATTACATTATTTATTTGAATTTGATGCTAAAACTTAAATCAGTACAGTTCAATCAAAAACCGGGGAAAGAGTGTTACGACCATCTAACGTAACCATGGGAAGTTGTTTTTTTCTTGCAAAGGGGAACCAAAAATATACTTCGTGAACTTTTATTGTAATTTGATAATCACTAATAGATCCACATAAAAACAAAGTTCAAGCAAAATTCAACTTTTATATCAAAGTGTGAATAAAAGAAAAATCCTAATTCGTCGAAAGAAATGTATATCTATTTACAAGAAAAAATTTTGTGTTAGATTTTATATAAATGATCAGTACAAAATGATGACACATATTAAGTAGATGCCTTCTACTTCGCACATGAAAATCATGCACAATTTATTAAAAAACTATTTTGGCTGTTTGGTTTTAATTTTGCTAACTGTAGATTTTTACGTATCACCTTCTTTTGTTAAAACAACAAATAAGTTTAACGTTACGAACGTTGATGAGTTCATAAGAGGGCTCCAAAATAATTTCAGAATAAAAATGCAACCTACAATAAACTGAAATTCAGAGTTCAATTATAAAAGTGTTTGTAGCTCTTGCTGTAACATTAAATTCTTATAATTTTATGAGGAACACTTTCAAAATATCTATTTTTCATGGAAAGTTAGTAATGATTTCTAGTATCACAAAATAATTCCATCGTTAAAATCAGATTTATTGCATTTTAAAAGACAGTTAAAAGAGAATAGAATTAACTGTTCTTAAACATAATTTTTCAAATAAAATGATGAACATAACTTACCAAGAGGTAGAATGAAGAAGAAAGGAAACCAACAGAGAATGAAAACTCCAACAACGATGCCAAGGGTTTTTGCAGCTTTCTTTTGACGTCTAAATTTTGAGAGACGTCCTTGCAAATTAGCCATGGTAAGTTTGACATTTGTTTTGTCATTTCCAACTCGCGGTGCATGACTGAGAACATGATGTGCTCCAGCATGGACTCTTAATGTTAGTTCTTTAGTTGTTTCATGGCCAGTCTTGACGACTTTGACACCGGTTTGCAAAAACTTAGTTTGCTCAATAGCAGCTTTATATATTCGGAAATATACAATGAATATAATAAAACAAGGAATATAGAAAGAGAAAGAGACCGAAAAGAGCACGTAACCCATCTGCTTGGTAACCTCACAAGTATAAGGATTTTCCGGAGGAGGTTCTTTCCATCCTAGAAGAGGGCCTACTGAAATAAATACCGATAAACCCCATACTGCAACACAAGCTGCTACAGCTCGTCTGTGTGTCACGATATTAGAATAAGCTAAAGGTCGAGTAACACCTATATAACGATCTACACTAATAACACAAAGACTGACAATGGAAGCTGTACAACAAAGAACATCAATAGCAGCCCAAACATTACAGAAATCATGACCGAAAATCCACTGCTTGTTGTTCATTTCTAAAAACGCTGAAAAAGGAAGAACCAGAATTCCCAAAAGTAGGTCAGCAATTGCAAGATTCACAATAAAGCAATTAGTGGTACTACGGAGACTGGAGGAGAAACTAACTGCTAAAAGGACTAGAAGGTTACCAAAGATCGTTAGAATTACAATGGATCCCAAAATAGTACCCAGAGATATCATTGTGAAATAGTCGTAAAGAGACATTTTACTAAGCAGTGAGCTATTAGTAGTCCAATCCGATGAATTGTTCCATGATGTTTCCTCAGTTAAATTTATTATGATTATTGCTATATCGGAGATCTTGCTACCCAATGGTAGTGAAATTTCATCAAGCTCCCTCGTTGGCGCCATGGTTCTTCTTTCTTTATGACGACGCTTTATCTTTTTTTCACATCATTTATTCTGCATCTAAAATTTTAAAAAAATAGCTTGTTATAATCATGATAAAGAGATATTTACTTAATTAAAGACTTTTATCAACAGTTTGGAAAACTAAATCGCTTGTAATCAAAAATCTAAAGAATATTATTTAAAAAAAAAATTTCTTTTTGTGGAGAATTCTGTTTTTCAGTTTTTATTTCTTTCTACTTGCTGTATAAACTTATTTCAATGCTTGTTGTGTAAACTTGCTTTCTGAGTAAACTGATTTCAATGCTTGCTGTGTAAACTTATTTCAATAGATGTTTCTTTAAAAAAAATGTGAAGGATTGTAAATTTTTAAAATACAAATTTACCAGTCAAAGAATCTATAATTTCACACTTATAATTAATCTTGTCAGTTTTTTTAACTATTAAAACATGCAGAAAACAAACTTGCTGCCTCCACTAATTAAAGTCATTCAGATACATACTGGTCAAATAAGGTTACTTTAGTTATTCTCGAAGAAACAATTTGGGTAACAAGAAATAGCAACTCATTGACATTCGAGGGTTCTATAAAAAAATTAGGGCTTTGGGTTGGAATAATGGCTAAATTGAAGCTAAAAAATTCCACTTAGTGATAGTTTATCAGAGTGGAAATAATTAATTTGTAAATTCACTGTTGAGTGAGCAATTTGAGTATCTTAGCAGCTTTGCTCCGTGGCCCATAGTAATATCTTACGAAAATTTCACTCTTTTTTCCACATGTGTTACATGTAATAACTATTAGAGTGAGATGATTTTGGAATTTTTATACTTAAGTTTTCCTGATGGCCAGTGTTATCCCATGAGTTTCGACAAAAATCGCAGTATTGATAAGCTAAGTTCGAGAATAATGAATGTATTTTATTTTCATTTTATAATTTAAAACTTTTAGTTTAGTTTATATATCGTAATAACCAACTATATTACACTTCTAATGGTGGCCAATTTTTGGTTGCGTGTTTATCAATTATGAGGGTAGTTATCGGGCCCGTGAAGGTCAATGGTCACATGCTAGTGGAAGAGATATATGTAACAGCTTGTGCAAATAATGAAACACATAAAAGTAATACATAATATTGTAATTTGTTTTTATTCCCAATTTCATCAAACTTTAATCTAGTAAATCTACTGAAAGAAATCAATGAAAAAAAAAAGCCTTAAATATACGTAAGAATTCTTACTTAATATAAATAGTAAATCTCTTTCGTCAATTTTATTTAAAATTTATGAAAGAAATATAGTCAACATTTGTAGGCATTTTCATAGCAGTTAAATTTTATATTAGTATAAAAAAATGGAGCTCTTTCCTGCTTTCCCGAAGGTATTTGATACCAATATTTTTTAAACAAATCGCACTTCTTGTTCGCTCTATAAATTATATCAATATTTATAAATAAACCGATCGCTCAATGACTCATTTATTAATTTTTGATGGTTTAAAATGAAATATTTAAAATTTTGAAGTAAAACTAATTAAAAACATTTTTATTTATAATGAATATAGTGTTTAGTAAATGAATATAGTAATGAATATAGTGTTTAGAATATGGTGTAGTAATTTTTATAAAATTTATTTTAATAAGCAATGCATAGTTTTTCGGGTCAAAAAATTAGCTAATCTTCTAACAAATTAAACCAATACACAAAATTTGAAAGTAGAAAAATATTTATTTGTTTATTATTATTTAGAAAAAATTATTATTTGGATCTATATTCATTACTTAAGAAAATTATTTACCGGCCATTACTAAATTCACGAGACAGTATTTTAAAATTTATAATATTGTAGCCTCGGTGTTTTGGAGGTATGGCAGTTTGTTATTACTACGCTTATAACGTTTTGTTTTTTTGAAAATAAAAAAGGAAATATTTCCTTTTTTAATTATTAATGAACTATTTTATATAAATTGTAAATAAAGTCGTAAACTATTAATAAAATAAACTGAGGTGACTTGTTCATTCTCGTATAAAATTTCGTAGTACTTCTTTAAATAGGAAGACAAAAACAGGATAAAATTTTTTTATTTTAGTTCAATGTACTTAGTATCTTTTCAAAATTTTTAATTTTTAAAAATATGTATTATCATTTAATTTTTTTAATTTATTTTTTCTTATTAAAATTTGTAGATTTAAAAAAATAATCATTAAAATATATTTTATAAAATATGTATTTACATTTTTTAACAGAATATTATGTAAAACAGGCATGATGATGTATTTTCAAAAACTCAAAATAAATTATCGATACCTAATTGTTTTCTTGTTATTCAAATTCGTATGAGGTAAGTAATATTATTTTTATTCGTTTTTATGATGTTTTTAGCAGAAATAAAAATTATTAATTTGCAATTTTTATACTTTATTAACTTTTAAAAAATAATAACTTCAATTCGAAAATTATTTTTAAATCAATAAAAATATGATTTAATCAATATTAAATATTTTGATTTTTTAAAATTTATCAATTAAAAGTAAATAATTAAGATTTAAGAGAACATTATAATGTATTTTAATTTGATAACTTTACTTTTACAATCGCTAATAAAATTGGGTAAACATCCAAAACTGCAGAGAGAGAGAGAGAGAGAAAGTCTTATGGTACTTTAAAAAATTTTCTTAACGATGCTATCGCAAGGTAAAAATATTTCGCCAAAAAGCTAATCCTCCAGCAGTTCATTTTTGAGCAAGCTTTTAGAGCCTGAACTCATCTCTTATATTTCTATTCTAAGATTGCTTAAGATTGCTACGGCATTAAATTCCGTACTTCGAAAAATATTTTTATCTCTGAGATAATTCAGTTTTAAAAATAAAAATTGAAAGCATATAACTTAAAATTTCCCTCTGGAGTGTATTGTTTAGATACTTACTAAATGCGTCCATTAATGTATAAAGTCAGAAATTCCTGACCGGTATTTATAACCTTAATTTCGCAGTAGATAATTTAATTTATTTCCATTTTCGGAAAGGTAAAATGTTTAAATTATGTCTCCAATTGTATTAGTTCGGATTAAATGCAAATTGACTTACAGAATTTCGATGCCATTTGAATTACTAAACAGTGAGAATCATTGGATTAGAAAGCATTAGTTTGCATTTAGAATTCTTATTTATACCTTATTCGCTGTGATTTAAACGCTGTGATTTAAACGTTGTGATTTCGTTGTGGTTTAAACGTAACATGTCAATAATAATTCTTATTGACTTGTTACGTTCAAATTTAGATTTGCTTTTCTTTCTCCTTTTTCAAAAGAAAAAAATATTTGCGATTTTTTATTTACTTATCATATGTTATTCATTTATCATATGTCATTCATTTATAAGTTTAAAAAAAGGAGACGAAATAAAATGAAATTTTGCATGAAAATATATCAAAGTATGCTTAATATATTTGAATACGTTTGGTATATTTGAAGCTAACAACTACTATTAATTATAAAATAATTTAACTTAGTTTTTTTTAAATTAAATTTTACAAAAACCACGGTATGAGATTTGCGTGCGCTGAAAAGATTTTTTTTAAAAATTATGATTTTTCAAGTAATGTGACACAAAAGTGTTAATAGAAACAACATAATTATATGATCATACAGAAGAGAAGAAAGGAGTCGGCATTGAAGCTATTGAATTGCTAGGAGGAAAAGCATTTTACAGGTAACTTAATCCTTCATTCACACTTAGCGTAATGAAAATTATATTAAAATATACTCTCGAATAAAACTCTTTTGTATCGAAAGCAAATTGTTTTTTGATATGAGTAAGAGAAGAAGCAACAAAATGCATTGTTATCTAAACTCAATACTTATATAATGAAAGCACAATGTTTCTAAATTCTCTTATATCCGTTAAATACTTTAGATGACTATATAGAAATTTTTTATGCATTTTTATATGTCTGTGAAGGATTGTTCTAAATTTTTTTATCACAGAGTCGATATGCTATTGCAGTAATAAAGAATTTAATTAATAAATATTTTTATTTATAAACTTTTAAGTCAAATATTAAAATTTGAGAGGATTTTTTTGTTAAGATTTTGGAAAGGATCTGTCAAGGCAACTTCAATATTACATGAAATGCTTTTAATAAAATATGAAATTCATTTAACAAACTATTTATTTTTCATCTAATAAGTTTATAGTAAGAGAAATCACAAGTACTTGGAATTAAATTGAATTTTTGTTTTAGATTTCTCAAATAATTGCACAAAATAAAGTTGTCATAAAAGCTGCATGAAAAAAGAGTGTATTGCAATTGATTTAAGAAATTAAATTAGTATATTTATTAAACACATAAAGAATATGGATCTCTATTGAAAAAAAATATGAAAGGATTTTTGGACAAATATGAAAGCGATGTTGAATAAGCGTAGTAATGCTCTTAGTACCTTCAACTATATTTAATCAGACAAAAAATAGATTAAAATACCAATTTACTGTCCTTCAAAAAAAAGGGTTTTAGTTTAAAATTGTCGAACTGATTGATTATAATAATAATTTAGTCAAGATTTCATATGTATTTGAATGGTTGTTCTGTTTAAATGTATTAAATGTTTATCAACAGCATCATTCAAAAACTTGAGTTGGAGTTAAGAAGAGAAAGATCTTTTTGAGCGTACTTCTTCGTAAAGTTTAAAATTGTTCAATTATATAATTATTATAAAGAAAAACGCTTTCAATTATTATAATAGCGAAAAAGCGTTTAAACCTGGCCTTTGATTACGTAATATGGTGGTCTTCGTGAGGCATGAGGCTTCGGTCGCTATGTTCAATTTTCCCTACTTCATGTAAACAGCATGGTTTTGTAACGAAACAATTTTGTATTCTTAGAATTGTTGTGAAAGCAATTGTAAGATCATGCTTTTGAATGGAAAACAAAATCAATCATGTTTTAATCTTATTTTCCCATCAGCTTCTGATAGTTTAATTAAAGGTATATCTTGCTCTATATTTTAACCCTAGCAGCAAAATAACTTGGTCCCTCATTGGATCAATATTCACGAATCTTG